AAGGTCCAAAACTTTTACAAGCAATGTAAAACAATTGCTACAACAATATAAGCAAATAAAACCTGCTACTACAAATTGGTAAACAAACCAACTAAATCTCAAGCAAACATGTTTCAAACATTTAAATAAAATAGCAAATCCATAAGGATTCTATTTAGTCCAAAAGCCTTTCCACGCTTAGGTATTCCTATTCAACACAAATGTTAGTAGTCCAAATATTTTTATTTTTACATCCCAAATACTATTCATTTGGTTTTGTATTTGTTTTTTCATTCCCTTTCGCATTAGTATGCCTACAAAGAAAGTTAGTAGCAAGCCACAACAAAATACAAATAAATAATTTAAGAAAAAAGTAAATATAATAAATTAAATGAAACCATCTAGCCAACTAGTAACCAACTAATATTAGGTACGAAAACAAAATACAATTTGTAACTTCAAAATTAAATTATAACTTCAAAATAAAATTTCATAATCATGACTTATTAATTCACAACAACCATGTAAACTTGTAACTCCAAATAAATAAATTAAAACCAAAATTAATGCACGCAATTAGATAATTTAGATTAATGCGCCCAATTAAATTCAAATTAATGCACCCAATTAAATTCAAATTAATCATGTACACAATTCATAAAACTCTATAACTCCAAAACACATTAAACTAAAATTAATAGGCAAAAGTTACAAACCAATAACCATTCAGCAATTAACATATGCAAATAATTCTTAAAAAAAATTAAATTATGTAATCTAATCTAGAAAATAATAAGCATGTAACAAATTAAAAATTAGAATAGAATTAGCATGTCAAAATTGCAACATCCATAAATTATATTTTATAACCTTAAAATTCATGCAAATCATGGTAGGGGAATGATGAACCATACGCATAAATAAGATCATACTAATACAATTAAGTATGCAAATTATGATATAGCATTCTAATTAGACTAAGCAATTGGAGAATAACATTGCATAATTTACAATCATTGAATTTTCAAAGGAAAAACAAATAGTGGACTTTCTCTTTAGTACAAATAGTCTACTTAAATAACAGAAGCAATAGCATGCAATATGTCTAAGACACACATGGATCTATTCACTAACAAACACAAATATATTAATGTACTCATAAGGATGAATCAGTGCAAGAAAGCATGAAAATAGTTTTATGTGCATGCAAAGAAGCAAAATCATGAACCGACAATTAACCTACAGAAAACGGAACAATGGCTTATTCATATAAATTACTTGAATTTCTAAACATTCAAATTTATATTTTGTATCATTGAAACAGTGAGCAATTCTGCAACAGTTCCTAGTAACATTATACAAAGCTAACCTAATTGTCTATATAAATCTATTCGATCAATTTCATAGAAAATATATAAAAATCTGTTTTAAACTTGTTGTCCAAATTATGAAATTAAATAAATAGATTTATGAAAAAATCAAAATTATATACCAAGAACATATGCTGATAATTACAACTAAATTACAATAGAAATACACAATACAATAAAATGGTAAAGAAACCAAACCGAAACCTTCACGATAACAATTTCCTTAAAACAGATTTCGCCGCCTCACGGGTCAAGTGCTTGAGGAATCCTGGTGTCTGTCTCCCAGGATACGACGGTCAAAAACCAGCTACGGCAGAAGCACTCTCTGTCTAGCTTAGCGAACAAAAACTGTGGCAGCACTCTCTCACTGTAGGAACTTTCTGGCAAACTGACTTGTAAAATGGAAGCAAAAAATTTCTATATTGAAACTTAACAGGAGGGTCTCAATTTATACATGTATAGGGGAGAGAGGAAAAGCCTCCAGCCTTTAAGGCTAGTCATTAAAACACCAAGCATCCATAGCCCCTTTCCACAAAATGAAAAGTATGGATGCCCAAAGGATTCACACCCTTTAGCCAAGAAAAAAGATTTAAATACTCTTTAAAATCCTATTCATGAATCTAACATCATGAAGCAATTTCTTGGCAATTTCTTATTCAAAACCCAATGGTTTTTGGCTCACTTGGACCCAACACAAAAAATGGTTAGGACCCACTTTAATATTTAATTAAAGTCACCACACTTTAATATTAAATTAAAGTCCCCAAAAATCATTTTTTCCAACAATCCCCCACATGAATAAAAATTGACCGAATGACTCAACAAACGGACATCGTTCAACAATAAAGACTCTGAGAGAGAGTACAACGGACTAACCCCGACATCAGAGAAGGTAGCTTTTGGCTTTGAACCTCTCCCAGTGAAAACCTATCGAGTTTACTGGCAGATCAGTGAATAAGACATCTTGAACTGCTCTACCGTTTATGTAAACTGAGACAATAGATCTCACACGGGAATTACGCCTACCACCATTATGTTCTCACTGGTGTGCCCTGTGTGGCCCTGAACACTAGCCTGGTTCAGCGAGTGGTTTCAAAGAATCTTGACCTGCCCAATTCCTCTAGAAGCGGCCCCACTTCAAACTCACATAGGTGACTCTACTAAAGTATCCCGCAATACTTAGCTCAACAGCTTAACACATAAGAGTCATTAAAAGCTCAGCTTATCCTCTACACTTGCAGGTATCACTAATAGAAGGAATCGCTGGAGGTTTAACCTCCTCAGTGACATACCACCGTTACACGCAATTAGGTTGTCCCATTAAACCTAGATCTTAGGATCTCCAGTCAACTAGGTTAGGTTTCCATTCCGGTAACTTCCAAAGGCCTTAACCCCATTCATTTTGACGACGTTTCGACTAACAAAAAGGAAAGAGAAAGGAGAGAATATTACCAGAAATTGTAGGGGCACATCTAGGTAGGCATAGAGTAACAGACACACACTTCACACACTTTTGTTTTGAAAAGAAAAAATAACTAAAAAGAAAAAAAGAAAAAAAAAAGATAGGCCAGTACTACAGAGAATCCAGTGGCGGTGGTGGTGGGAAATGCTGGGCAAACAAGGCGTTCATCAAGGATCGCGTCTCAAAGGCTTTATCCTGAACCCGTTGACCGAGCTGATCGAAATGATGTTGGCTCGACTCTCGATATGTATAAAAGCCAGTTTACAGTGATGCAACTGACTGCTGAATGTTGAGCTAGCGGGCGTTGAGTTGATCAAAAGCCGTCTGAGAATAGTCTCGATGTGCCTGAAAATTCGTGCGCAATCCCATGAGACTCTGGTGGTGATCACGAAGAGTACTGTGGACCTGATCCACAGAGTGCTGAAGCTGTAAGTACTCCTCGCGAGTCATGTAGAATGGAAAAGAAAAGAAAAGAAGAGATTGTGATTTTTGTCCTTTTTGTTTGGTAAACTAAGGAAAATCAAAAAAGATACCGATTTATCTTCAATTTTATTTTGATGGACTACATAAAATAAAATAAAAGAAACTCTTATAAGTTATATTACCAAAATAACTTTTTATGCTTATATTTTTTTAGTACTTAGATGGACAATTTCGATATCTTATAAAATTAATAATTATTCCAAATTTAGAGAGATTCAGAAAGCAAGTTGTAAGAGAAATGAATTTTTCTCTATTTATGTCCATTTCCTCTCGCTTCTCTTCTCTTGAATATTTTGTTGCAAGCAATTATATATTGATATTGATTTCCAACGTGCAATATGTGGATTAGAGTTGTGGGAAACTTCCAAGGGTTGGCTTGGTGGTAAGGTCTTGAGTTTTGGGAGTGTTTTGAGTTTTGGGAGTGTGTTCCCTCCAAGGTTTAAGATTAAAACTTCTTAGGTGTTAATAATTTTTTGGAGCCATCGGATTAGGAAAATTTTTTAAAATTAATTTTGGTGCACTTAAGAAAATTCGACTAATTTTGGTGCACTTACAGAAAATTTCTTACTGAGGGATTGCGCACTTCTAGAAATTAGTCGAGTTTTGAACCAACACTCTGATGCCAATAAAAAAAAATTATGTATTAGAGTTAATGCATCTCTATTTTAAATTAGGTTAACCAACTGGAGTAGTTCAATTAGACATCCTTACATACTTTCAATTCAACTGAGAGGTCAAGTCTTATTATGACGCTTTTCTTGTATTTATGTAGTTGTTAGAATTGTGTGTGCTTTTTTTAATGGTGGTTATAGTTGTTTTATGCTTATATATCGTTAGACTTTCTTATATAATTGGTTATCTAATTTATTGTAATTTGTTATATTTATAGATAATCATCTATCCATTGACAAAAAATAAATAAATAAATTAGGTTGTTTTATGCTTTTAAAAAATTTCCATGTATAAATTTTCATAGAGTAAAACTTGTTAGTTTGGTGTAATTAACTAATTCGTAAATTATTGTCTTATTATATATTTTGATGTAGCATGTGGGTTTGGATTTTTTTGAGGGAGAAATACATATCTGTGCTATTTGTCTAATATGACTTATCTATTTACGTGTTACCTATCTATTTACATATTTATCCACCTAATATACCTATTTGCCTATATCACTACCACCAACCGCAACTGGCCACCTCCAGCAACTTTTCTGGCCACCGGCGGTCAAACAACAACGAGTAAAAATAAAAAAAATTATACTTAAAGATAATAATTTATTCTTCTCACCAAATAATTGCATTAATCACATCGTTACATACAAAATGAAACAATCATAGGATCTAATGCCATACACTCCCTTAGAAATGGATTTCTCAACAAATTTTTCGATAATTTTTAAAATTATGAAATTTACTAGAGATTACTTTTTCACTGGTTGAGATAACTTGTGCATCACTCAAACATCATAATATCAAAATAATATTACAGTTCGAAATGTTGCTTCTCCTGAGCATGTAACTGAAATACCTGGACAACTCATTCTTCAAAGGAATATGTATATATTTTGTTACAACAAGCTATCTCATTCAGACTATTTGCTTAAGGATAAGGATTGCCCAACTTTCACTTTAACAAACTTTACTATATATAGAGATAATATTCTTTTTGAAGTGCGCCTATCTATACAATATTCTTAGCAATCTGATTTTATAAAAAAAAAAAAAACTACCTTCTTTAATGATATTGGTTTAATGTAAATTTCTCAATGAGTCAGCAGTTGTATTGTATGAAGCTTTTCACCTCCCATCTTCACAGGCCTGTTCTCCACACCAAAAGCTCCACGAGGTATGTATCCATCTCTCTCTCTCTCATAACTATATATGTGCCACGCTCGTGGGTTCTGCCCAATCCACATGGAGAGGGCCATTTACATGAGTCACAGAATTAATCGAGATGCATGTAAGTTAGTCTGGACACCCGGTCATAAAAATAAAAACAAAATTAAAAAAAACTCGGTTGTGCTGGTGGCCTAGTCTTTTCTTCTACTATATATGTTTGGCTATTAAGGGGAGAAAGAAATGATTTGTTAAATTAGGAGGGAAAATAAAAGAAAAGAAGAGGTTGTGATTTTTGTCCTTTTTGTTTGGTTAAACTAAGAAAAATAAGAAAAGATACCGATTTATCTTCAATTTTATTTCGATAGACTACATAAAATAAAATAAACTCTTACAAGTTATATTATCAAAATAACCTTTTATTCTTATATTTCTTTAGTACTTAGATGGACAATTTTGATATTTTATAAAATTAATAATCATTCCAAATTTAGAGAGATTCAAAAAGCAAGTTGTAAGAGAAATGAATTTTTCTCTATTTATATCCATTTCTTCTCACTTCTCTTCTCTTTAGTATTTTAAACAAGTATTAAGAATGGGAGAAATCGATTTTTTTCATTTTCTCTCAAAATCAATCAATCCAAACAGATTGTATGGTTATTACAATTTAAAGTTGTTGTTGAATATTTTGTGGCAAGCAATTATATATTGATATTGATTTCAAGCGTGCAACATGTGGATTAGAGTTGCAGGAAACTTCTAAGGGTTGGCCTGGTGGTAAGATCTTGAGTTTTAGGAGTGTACTCCCTCTAAGGTTTAGGGATCAAAACTTTTTAGATGTTAACAATTCTTTGGTGCCATCAGATTGAGAGAAAACGCTTGAATTAATTGTAGTGCACTTACGGAAAATTTCTTACGGAGGGCTTGTGCACCTCTAAGAATTAGTCGAGTTTTGAACCAACACCCTGATACCAATAAATAAAAAATGTGTATTAGAGTTAATGTTTCTCTATTTTAAATTAGGTTAACTAACTAGACTTGTTCAATTAGACATCCTTACATACTTTCAACTGGGTTCAAGTCTTATTATGACATTTTCTTGTATTGATGTAGTTGTTAGGATTGTGTGTGTTTTTTTTTTATGGTGGTTAAGTTGTCTTATACATATATATGGTAGGACTTTCTTATACAATTGATTATCTAATTTAATGTAATTTGCTTATATTTATAGACAATCGATCAACAAAAAAATAAAACAAATAAATTAGGTTGTTTTATGCTTTAAAAAAATTACCATGTTTAAATTTTCATAGAGTAAAACTTGTTAGTTTGGTGTAATTAACTAATTCGTAAATTATTGTCTTATTATATATTTTGATGTAGCATGTGGGTTTGGATTTTTTTGAGGGAGAAATACATATCTGTGCTGACTAGGGAAAATATTTATAAAAAATAAAAAATAATATAAATATTAATATTAAAATCATTATCTTTTTCACATTTGTATAATAATTTTTCAAAATCCACTCTAAATAGTAAATTTTCCTTTTTTTAACCTTTATTGTGAGCGTGCATGATATGTTATTTCTAGAAGATTATTTTTGTATTCAATAGATATTTTTAATATAAGAATAAGGTTATAATAAATGGTAAATGGTAACAAGCGTATCTGTAATATTGAAATTTGTGTAAAACAATATTTTTAAATTAGTGAAAAAAAACTATAAATTGAATAAAAGATTATTTTTAAATTAGTAAAAATTGTCTTATATTCTGCAAATTCTTTCTTTTTTTTTTTTCTTTTTCTGTATACCCATTGACATTTGTTAGTAAAACCCACAATAAATTATCAAAATTCAAAACTAAAATGATGCTAATTTGCATAGTAATATATCATCATTATACTCGGTTTTGATTAATGCATACTTATGACTCACAAAATCATGCACTAATCAAAATCAATCATAATGAACATTTTTGGTGTGAGAATCAAACAAAACAACGGTGCTCATTTTAATTTTTTAAAAATAATTAATATACAAGTTGCCACATGGAGGTAAAATAAATAAACCTATATATATAAATGAGAGAAGTGTAATACGAACATTAAAGTAAACCTTATCTATATGAATTTATTATAAAAGTCGGCAGCCGTATAATGACTAAGGCTTCATTTAGGAACAAGTTAATTTAGTAATGTTTTGGCTATTTAGTTAAAATATAAGGTAAAAAAAAATTAGTATGTTTGGGATGACTTTTTGACTTTTTACGAAAAGATATGCAAAAAGTAGAGAGAAAACAGAATCTTTGACTTTTTAGTATGAATTGTTGGCTTTTTATTTTTTTTAGTAACTTTTTGACTTTTTGACTAAAAAAGTCACTTGACAAACGAGACCTAAGTATCCATAAATGTGTATGCACAGATATGTCAATGCTCACGAGATGAGAATAGGTCTCAACTGCCAACCCATAACCGTGTTGTTTTTATGGATAATAACTGATGAAAAGTATATGCCCATGGAGCCATATATATGTTATTTGGTGTAAGATTTGGTCCTTTTTTGTGATAAAAATATATTTAATGAAATTATTTGGTGAAAGGAACATTTTTAAAATATTTTTTTTTCCAATAGTAACCCCACTGCTGGAAAAGTCGCTGACAACCATAGTGTTGCTGGCCATAATATAAACAGATAAGTATATTAGGTCGACAAATAAATAATACATGAACAAATAATGAAATCATACGTAAATTGATAGATGAACAATAAATAGATAAAAAAAAAATGGAATATAATGGTCTTTTAAATTATAATTATCCTTTTGACCTTAAAAATTCTAGAAATGAACCTCTAGCTGAATTGTATTTTGAAGATGCCCCTGCCACCAAATGTTGCAGTTATAAATGAATCATGAAAATTAATTTAACAGTACCTTCTAGGTTTGAATGCTATATTTATTTTTATTTTTTTTATTTTTTTTTTAAGTGTAGTATATCATTAGAGATGTTGGTTAAGAATCCTCCTGTCCAAATGTATTTAGATCTTCGATTTAAATGGAAATTTTTTGGTGACAAATGAAAATAAATAAATAAATAATTGACAAAACTTCAGTTAATGTTTTTCCTCGACTTATTTTCAAATCACAGTTATTCGAACTCTACTTATGATAAGGTTTGTAAAAGTTGATTTGAAATTTGAAATTCATTTGTTATGTAAATAAGTTAAATTTAAACTCATTTTAAAATTCATTAAATCAGTAAAATTACTTTGAGCTCGCTTGTAATCGGCTCGATTACTACTCATTTCAAATCTTCTTGAAGAATATATTTTAAAACTTTTTTAGTTTTCAAATCCAATTTAAATAATTTACTTACCTTTCTTAATTCAAAAAATTCGAGCCCTCTACACATTGTGATAGGAATTTTTAAATATAAAAATCTCGAAACATGTCGACTATATATAGATTCACTACAAGAACAGAAAAATTTTAGGTATAACTCTGCTTTAATTGTTGCATATCTGTGTGAACTAATTACAACTCTGCTCTAGTTTTTGCATATACGTGTAAACTAAGTACAACTCGGCTTTGCCCTGTGGAATTATTAATTTGTAACTAAATTTTTGTATTCTTGTAGTCAATGTATTTATAGTCAACCTGCTTCAATTAAACGATTTTTCTGGAAAAAAAATTATTTAATACTCCTAAAACAACAACTACTGAATCAACTTGATTTTTTATTAATTTAAATAGTGATTCGTCACTCTTATGTTAATTTTTAAGAGATAACAAGACAAGTGTCACTACATAAATAAAGTAGAACATTACTCCAAAATTACTAAATAATTATTAATTGATTTTTCCTTCGCTAATTCAAGTGATTGGCGAGCATTTAGTACCATGTTAAAATAAACTTTTATTAAAGAGGGTAAAAAAATCACGAAGTTATTTTTCATTATCTAAAAAAAATCTATATGTCACATCAAAAAATTTTAATCACAAAAAAATAAATTTTTTAAGAGTAAATTGGTGATAAATCCAATTTAAAGAGGATATAAGGCATTAGGTTCCGTGGATATTCTTGTTGGAGAGACATCTCATTTGTAAAATAATTTGGTGAGAAGTCATTTTATTAGTTTTGAAAAACATTTTATTTTCGATTTTACTCCTTAATTGATCTATTGACTTTTTTTTATTATCCGTTCAAATTTATATCTAGCTGTTCAATTTTTTCCCTATCTGTTCAAAATCTATGAATTTCTCTCTCTATCTGTTTAAATTCTATGAGTTTCTAAAAAAAATAAAGATTTGATCTATCTATTCAAATTTTTTATTCAACGGTGCTAGGGACCCCAGCACCCTCACCTCCACATGTCTTGCTATGAGAGCAAGACTTGAAAAAAATAAAAATAAAAAAATAAATTGAGCCAATTAAAAAATAGTAGGGGTGGTGGGGTCACCCACCCCCACTGGGGTCTGGGGCATTTTCCTTTTTAATTTATAAATTGTTTTTCAACAATGATTCATCCCTCCTTTTCTCCCCACCCTCTTTGACCCCCTCTCTTTCTCATTGGTTACTTTTTCTTTTTCTTTTTCTTTTTCTTTTTTTTCCTGCTCCTCCAATCACCACCCGCCACGTGACAAAAGGGGTGAGGGGGTCCCAAGCATTATCCATTGTTTTTATCTGTTTAATTTTTTATCCCAAATTATTTTATCTGATCCGTTGGTCTACCCTCTACCCATAAACATGTTTTTGAACTTAACTTGGTCAAAGTTGCTGACTGCAAAAAAGTTTGTGAGAGAGCATATGTTTTGTGTGTGTTTCCAGTAGCTCTAGCTATAGCTCTAGTGTCCCCCTTAAACTAATTTCACCTGCATTACCACTACAATGTGATCATACAAGAAACAGTTTTCAACAATTTATTAAATGCTACTACAATCAATTGTCAATTAAAATCAAATATAAAGTGATTAAATTCATAATAATCACTGACAATTGGGGATATAGCATTTCAATGCTTCCTTCAACAGCAAATATATATACATACCTACATATATATATAGACATACAGACTAATATATTCATATGATCCATGATCCATAAAATCTGTTACAGTGCTAGTGCTGCACATGTATATATTATATATATGCATTGTCTAAAAAATCTGCAATCTTCTTCAACAATGGCGGTTGGTTGAAGAAGATGAAGGGGAGAGTCGAGATCCGATGTTGATTGAAGCCATTGTTGGAGAGGAGAGGGAGAGGGAGAGGGAGAGGGGAGAGAGATTATGGTTTGATTTGGGTTTGATTTAGAAAATAATATATATATATATATTGAAGTGGTTTGGTTATTTCATAAGACATTATTCTTGTAGGCATAATAAATTAATGCCTCGGCTTTGCATAAATAAAATTCAAAATTGAAATTTTCAACCGAACCCTTTTTTAAATATCTTCCTAAGTGCATTAACTAAAAAAATCCAAAAAGCAAGTATATAAGTACTACCAAAATTATTTTGTTTATTCACTTGTAAATGCAAGTAATATTATTTTTTACAAAATTGCTTGGTAGCTCGAAAGTGGTGGCTCCAACTTGGCCCGAAAAGCGATATTTTCTCTCTGTCCTCCCTATCTGTGTCTATAAGCTCAAAACGAACACAATATGAAACGAAATACACTGTCTCTCATCCCTCTCATCTCTGTGAATCTCTCTCGTTATCCCTCTCATCTCTGTCATCCTTCTCATATGTGTGAAGACCTTCCTCTGTCATAAACATAAACATAAACTCAATACTTGTTAATCAAATCAAATCAATAAACATAAACGTAAACATAAACATAAACATAAACATTGTTTTTTCTGAGCAAACAGAGTTAATCAAATCAACTTTAAACAAGACTCAATAGACTCAATACTTGTTTATTTTTTTCCTGGGCAAAATCAGCACCCTTCGGACACACAGCAGCAGCGGCGCACCGTTTGCCACACACAGCAGCAGCTGCAGCTGCAGCTGCAGCTGCCGTCGGCACACACAGCAGAAGCGGAAGCACACACAGAAGCAGCACCAGCACCCGTCGGTCGGCTCCTCTCTATACTCTTTGAACACTTCAATCGCCGATAACGGGTCTCCTCTCTCTCTCTACTGGGTTCTTTCCTTTTCTTTTTTTTTTTTAACTTCAAATGGAATGTGTGGGTTAAACGAGATGGGCTGTACAAATAAATGAAGATGTAATAAGAAATGAGGGTGTATATAAAAGTCGGGCCATTCGAGCCGTGTAACTTTCGAGTTAGGAATTGCAGTTGTATTTTTTAAAGTTAAAACAATTAATCAACCCATTTAAAAAACAAAAAAAATGGAACTTGAACTTGGGTTAAGTAATCCTTAAATGACACACAATATGTAGTGATTTAAATTGAATATACATTGTGTATACTAACCGTTAATATATATTAAGAGAGCACAAATTAACAAAATCTTAAACCAAAAACAAAAAGTCAGAACTTCTATTTCATATTCATATCTCAGCCTTCAATGTTAGTTGAAACCTTCTACATTATTAAAAACAATGAGTTGACTTTCAATAGTATGTAAATTGTATATATATAAACTGAAGACATGTATGTAAAGATTATAAGCACTTTTTCTCTGTGCAGGAAGAGGATGTCGATGAATCCCCAGCAGTTCCTCCTTGTATGCCTCTCTCTTTTCTTGCTATTTTTTACGCATATCTCTCATCTCTCTCTTGCCGATGTCGGCACTACTGCCAGCTATGCCCCACCATATATACGTAAGTACCCACTCCACAATTACAATCAATCATTAACAAATCATAACCAATTCTTTCCATACTCAAACCCTCTGCATTTTAAAAAGATGTAAACGGAAATGGATTACAAAACTGAACACAACTGTCTCACATGAACCGAATTTTATCTTTTTTATAGATTCCGCACCCATGTAAATGACTTTCAATCGGGACAGGAATAAAAAAAAAAAATTTAGAGACAGAAAATCCTAACCCAATTTTCAAAACATGATTTTTTTTTTTTTTAATGTGTTGTCGTCGGGTGGTTGGATTGAAACAGCCACCGCGTGCAGCGGCAACGACGGTTCTCAGTTTCCGTCAAGCAATCTGTTCGCAGCAGCCGGAGAGGGGATATGGGACAATGGGGCAGCTTGTGGGAGGCAATACTTGGTGAGGTGTATTAGTGCAGCAGCACCAAATAGTTGCAATCCAAGTCAAACAATACAAGTGAAGATAGTAGACAGAGCACAAACATCGGCTTCAAGGCCTTCAAGGGGTGGAACCACCATGGTTCTCTCTACTACAGCTTTTGGAGCAATTGCCAATGGATCACCGCCATCCATTAACATTGAATTTCAACAGTAAGTTTTTTTTTGCATTAATCGGTAGGAGAATTTATAAATATCACAACATTATGTCCTCTTAAGAGAGTCGAACCCAAATTCTCAACTATCGAGATAATAAGACTAACAAGGGGAACAGCAGATATACCGATCCTCTTAAACAAATCGAACCAATTCGATCCGCCGTATTTTGGACGGATGCGTGACGACGAGCGGACAGTTACGGATTGATTTTTTTCAATCCGTCTAGTTTTAGACAGATGGTGGATTTAAGGTTTCTTTGACTGCAATTGAACCGCCAAACCGCGAATACCACTAATAATTTGTAAAACTTTGTGTTTTCAATTTATTTAGACATTTGATTTGTGTTTTCAATTGAAAAAAAAATTAAATATTCTATTGAAAAAAAAAATTAACTTGAATATATTTTTTGAATTGAAAATAATAAATGTATTATTTATCTATTTTTTTATTTTTAAATCTAGCTCTAAAAATAATAAATAAAAAAGATGATATATGCTGATTGGTTTTTGTTTTTAAAAACATATATAGATGTAATAACACAGAGATATATATGCAGTGATTGTAATACTTTTTTAAGTCTTTAACTGTAATACTTTTTTTTTTTAGGAAATGCACAAATTGAATTATATTGAAAATTTATAAAATTTTAAAACGCCAAACCGATTCGCTCAATCCGCCAATCCGCTCAATCCGCATCCGACAGATTAGCGGATGGATGCGGATTGATTTTCTCCAATCCACCAATCTAACACACGAATAGCGAATTAAAAATTTCATGGCCGCAACCGACCCACGCCCACCCCTAATTGATAGTGTCATATGTTAACTAACAAAAATTAGTTAGCAATGTTTTTTTGCGAGTTTTCCTCCAATAGGTGGATCTTTCTGTTTCAAAAGTTATTATTATTATTATTATTATTATTATTATTGTTATCCTTCAAGTTTTCATTTAGTTTTGTCCAAATCATATTTAGATGTCCCATGTCTTTAATAATCACGCAAAGGTTTGCATGATTATTAAATACATATCTAAATATGATTTGGACAATACCCTTTTATACATCGAAATTATTAATTAGGTCATGTTTCTGTTTAAATATTATGCCAAGTTGAGTGCGTCATTAGTGACGCATCTTTACAAACAATGAAATTAATTATTCTTTTTGCTATAAATAAAATAAATGCAACAAAAGTTTAGACTCAGAAGTTCTGTTTGATTAGGAGATTACAACATAAGATTGAAGTAATTAATTTTGGTTTCAATTTTTATTATTCGGATTAGACTCCAATGAATATTCTTTTTTTCGTCAATCGATAAGAGAATAATTATAAGTATAAAAAATATTATATCATTAAACAGACTATTAACCCACAATAGTTGGAAAATCAATAAAGCCTACCAAGCACAACCCTAACAATAACTTCACTATTATTTAGTCCAACTCCAAAAATAGGGGAGAGATAAACATCACCATAAAAGATACCAAACTCATTTTCATAGGAGTTAAACCCGAGACCTTACTATGTTACACAACCATGAGGCCAAATGCCTTGGTTGGTTTTGATGGACGTTCAGTCCAACAAAAATTGTGAATTGTTTAGCTCTACAATTAATGATTCAAAACAAACATATTATCTGAATTATATATTTCATACCCATTGCAAAACAAATGTGAACAAGTGAAAATTATTTATCTCACTAATCTAAGTGGATAACCAATCTTACATTAATTTTATAGATTGTTAATCCTTTCACTATTAATCATGTGAATCAAATAGAACCAAACAAAAGAGATTCGTGATTATTTTGATCCCTATAATTTTAATTGTGACACATTTACCTCTATAAGTTCTAATTGATTTAGTTAGATCTAAAATCATCAAATCTTTGTTCAAGGAACATAAACACATGAACTCCACATGTGTTCCACAAGAAGTCCACGTAAGCTCCACATGAATGAAGAAAAATCATGTGGCTTGGAATTTTTAACAAAAATTTATAGTTAAACCTAAATGAAACCAATGTCAAACCTCATTTAAGATCAATTGGTTATATAAATAAGATAAATTTAAATATATCATAAAATTCGTTAACTTTTTAAACCAAATACAAACAACTGAATACTCAGTTTGCCAAGAACTACAACAAAACCAAACTACTCGAGGTTGGTATGGTTAAAACTCGTTTAAAATCGACTTCATAAATACACAAGTCAAACTTAAAATACATTTTAAAACTCATTAAGTTTTCCAACCAGACTCGAATAATATGTTATTCAACTAGACTTAGGTTATTTACGATTTTGTTAATTCACTGTATATGTTTATTTTCCTTAATCAAACCCCTTGGGGTGAGCTAAATAAGCCAACTTTTTGGCTTATTGTTACTATTTTTTTCTACTTACAAAAAAAAGTTTCTATACGCACAGTTTTCTTAGATTTCAAAAAAATTTAAAAAAAAAAAACCACTAAAAAAGTCAATACTAAACTCCATTATAAATGTAACAGCACAAGAAGCAAAAATTAATTAATTTATTGATTAATTAATTAAGATCACCCTTGTTAATTAAGATATTTGTCAACAGTCGAAATTACCCTTGTCAATTAGTTATTATTTTCAACATTCACATGAGTAATTTTAATGTACTTCCAAGAAGAATAGACAAGAGAGGGTATATTAGGTTTTGTATTTTTGTGTTTTCGTCTTCACACATTGACCTGACGGAATTTTTCATGTGCAGGGTTTGAAGTGGACAACAGCAAAAGACATATATGTATAATTCTATCAACTATTATAGGAGGGAGCTGATGATCGTTCTTTTGTTACTTTTCTCCATAGTCTCCACCTAGACATTGAATAATTTATATTAGTTCCTAATTTTTATTTTTATTTGCTCAATAACAAATGACCTAGCAAGAATAATTTTTCCATACACTTTCGGCGGAGTAATTATTTAGTATTTTTAATATTTTTACTATGGTGATGTTATCCATTCAATAGCAAGGAGAAATGATAGTATGGGAAAATGACAAAATACCATTAGTTAGACATACAATCACGTGATATTCTCAAAACACTAAATAATTTCTGTTTGATGAGCTTAGATTATGTTTAGTTCGTGAATTTTGGTAGGAATTTGAAAATGAAAATGAAAAGAGAAAAATTAGATAAAATGTGAATGAAATATAGCTATAATTCATCCACCTCTTTCATTTTTCTTTTCAAATTCTTACTTAAATTTATGAGCCAAACACAATGGGATTAAATAAGGAATTTTATCAACTATGCTTGTCTATTGAATTTCATCAACAAAAAAAACTTTCGTCGATAAAAGAAAAGAAAAAAATCAAACACCTTTTTTAAATTGGAAATGCATTTAAAAGATATTTTCCTTTCCTTGGAAAATATATATTGCACACCTCTCTAAAAAAAATTTAAAAAAAAGTACACAGTAAGAAATGCATCTTAAAGATGGATATGGGGATGTTGCTATCACTTTGTAGGACAGGATTAAGAGAAGATTACGGGGTCATAGTTTTTCTGTTTTTGTGAATATTATTGTTTGTCATAAATTTTATATATATGTATATATATATTATTTTATACATAAAATGACCCTTAGTATAAAAAATATATATGTTATTTTTCTTCCATCGTGAATTCTTTTTCTATTTTACATAAAAAAAATATAAATAAAAAAAAAACTTATTCATCCTATTAGAAATTACTTCTATGATATTAATTTTTTTTTTTTATGTATAGATAATTTATTTATTATACATACATACATGTGTTTTTTGTGTATTTGGTGAAAAAAAATATTTTTCTTTTGTCTCCTCCGATAATAAAATCCTAGTTCTGTCCCTAGACTTCAGGGTTGATACCTTGCTATGATGTTTGTCAAACATATTATTTATGCAAATAATTAAATTAACTAGGCATTTATAAGCTCATTATCAGATCTTAATTTTTTTTTTTAAATATCAAAATTATATTAATCGTTTATTTAAAAAAATAAATAAATGTGCTATTGTTATAGGGCTGTAAATGTCCAATCAATTTAATTTTTTATATAGATAATCTATTCAATAAATTTTATAATCTAAACAGATCGGATTATCAAAAAATGCTCAAGACAAGCTTTCGCAAAGAATTACAAGTTACAATAACCAATTGTACCAATAATCCCAATTCCCTAAAATGTGTACTATTTTTAACGATATTTTTTTTTTTTTTTTGATCGGCAAAGAAAATCTTTATTGATGAAAGAACCAAGAAAGATACAGAACATCAATAAAGAGGAGCTTGAAGCTAACAGAAGCTCCAAGCGCCAGTTGGTGAGAAGCCAACAAACAAGACAAGAGAAACAGAAAAAAGAAAGGCAACCGAAGCTAACAACCAAACTACAGAGGAAAAAAAACAGAACAAAGCAGATCTAACACCAAAACTAGGCAGCAGACTACACAACATTTGGACAACCACAGCTGACTGATCAGCATATACAGCTAAACAAAACTCAGCTAGAGATCAGTCCCCAGAGCTAGCAGACTACACAATTTGGGGCACTACACTTCTGAATCTACTGCAGATATGCTTCAAATTTGCACCAACATTATCACCAAAACTCAGCACAGATGCAAAGCTGGATGAAGTCTCCAGGAGCCCAGACACAACTCCCTTGGATCCAACTGGCTACACCTCTGCCCTCAGATCAGAGACTACCACCATACCCCACAGATATGCAAACAGCCCAGAGAAGACAGAGGTAATCAGTCCAAAAACAGTCCAAACCAGAACCAAACAGCAACCTGCAACCTCATGGCAGACCTGTGGGTCTGAAGTAAATCACACAAACAAACAAACCATACACCTATCCTTGCAACAGAACTGCAGAAGTCACCACTGCTGGAGCATACAGATGGAGCAGATTTGCCTTAAGCTACATTGCAAAGAAGAAAGTATTTTCATACACTTAGTTATTTTAATTAAGGAAGGAATTTTTATTATATCACGTTAACGCGACACAAGTCGAACATGAATAAAAAATATTACAACCCAATCACAATTTAAAAAACAAAAAAGTTAAAGACTTCATTTGATTTAGTTTTAGAATCTTAATTGGAGTGTGAAGTTGTGAGTTGAGTTTTGATTCTAAAAATAATTTTAAAAAACAAAATAAAAAAAAATTAAAAAAAGAGTTTTAAAAAGAGTTTGGTTATAAGTTTTGAAAATAATTTTTGAATTGAGTTTTGAGTTGTGCATTTGATTATGAATTTTAAAAAGAATTTTGAATTTTTTTATTTAAGATTGAAAATTCTCTTACACAACATGAATACGACATGATTTTTTATTTATTCCTTTCAAGACAAAAGTGAAGAACTATAAAGGCATCTTTTGAAAAGATAGTAAAAAATAATTTTTTAACTTTAATATGTTTTAAACCATATCTACACATTTTTTATAAAAAATTAAAAAACAAAAACTAAACAATTATCTTTTAACCGACTTTCTAAAACAACTTAAACTTGTGCTTGCCTCGTCAACCCTAATAATTAGGGGTGAACGTGGAGGGACAGGGAATTTGAAATCTATGGATTATATAATTGGCGTCGTGTTTGGAACGGTGAGACATGGACCCTAGCCAGGATTAGGATAAACTATTCTTGATTACTAGCTTAGGTGGAGGAAATTAACAATCACTCACAATTACATTATTGTAGTTTTTTTCAGATCCAAAATGACAATCAATTTTCTTCCCCCTAAAGTTTTTTGATCAACTAACATTATTGTCTTCCACTAATTTCGGAAAAGAGATGGAGAGAGAGAGAGAGAGTGTGTATATTTTCAAATTTACGCCACGACTAATTAAATTGAAACTCAACTTAAAAGGGTAACGATTAAATTTTTTAATTTAAAATTTTTAAAAATTAAAGTGAAAATAGGGTCAAATTACAAGGATGGAAAATAAAAAGGTAAATTGCACTAACTTCTCTTGAGATTTACAAAAAATATAATTAATCCTACACTTGACATAATTACATTGACCTCTTTCGAGTTGTTTTATCAATAATTCATGAGTGATGAAAAAATAATATTGTCATATTTTTTCTACTAAAATATAAATTTATCTTTTTTTATTTCAATGACTACCACCATATGCGTTAGTTTTGATCGTTTTAAACTTACCAAAAGAAAGGTCAATGTAATAATGTCAAATTTTTGAAACTAATTATTTTTTTCTCAAACCTCAAGGGAGGTGAGTGTAATTTACCCAAAGTATAATTAATTGAAAATAAAATGATTTTCATGATCCTACAACAACAACATAATTTAATCTTATTTATCACAAAATATTTTTTTATTAATTATCACTAAAATTGATCTTACTTACCACTAAATATAATCAAATACTAAAACTTATTTTACTTATCACATAATATAGCTGTACTTACCAATTTTTTGTGACTCATGTTAATGACAGTTCATTCGGTTGTCCATAACAAAGAAAAAAAATTCAAAAAGAGATTATAATTTCAAAATAACTTTTTTTAACTTCCAAATGAATAAGAGGATGCCACGTGTCCTGCAATTATATAAATAATAAATAATAATAAAAATTGCAGATTTATGGTGTTAACAATTTTTTTATTAATTATCACTAAAACTGATCTTACTTACCACTAAATATAATCAAATACTAAAACTTATTTTACTTATCACATAATATAGCTGTACTTACCAATTTTTTGTGACTCATGTTAATGACAGTTCATTCGGTTGTCCATAACAAAGAAAAAAAATTCAAAAAGAGATTATAATTTCAAAATAACTTTTACACATTTCGAAATATTTTTACATAATTTTATACAATTTTTTTTTAAACAAAAGTTCTACACATTTTCCAGATTTTTATAGTAAAATACTCACCTAATATATCATAGTTGGACTAGAATTTCCAATTTGTGTGGAAAAAATATGGAAGAAAAAGTATGTCAAATTACCAATAATCTATCTATTACTTCAATTTTGGCCTTATTTGAAAGGTTTACTGTTTTAGTTGGCTATTTAACTATTTTAATTTGGCTAAAATAATTATGTTTAAAAAGTTGGTTGATTTTTTTTTTTTTTTTTTTAAAGTTAATTTGATGATTGTGAGGAAAAAAAATGATTATGGATTGAATGTAATATTTTATCTTATTAATTATTTTAATATTTTTTATTTTTTAATGGGCTATTTTAATCCAATCATCTTTCTTTACACCCTAAAGTACAAGTTTGTTAATCTTATGGAGTACATGGATCAAAGGTCCTTGTCAGGAACTTTTTTTGTGGTTGGAAAAGAAATCAATCATTTGAGTTATTGATTGAGAATTGTAATGTAAACATAGATTTTCATTTCCCACCCAAGAATTTTAGGAATCTTTTGGGTAGAGCAAATTTGTTCACACTTTTGCCTTTTACATAAAATAAATTTGTTGATTCACTCCTTCAAAAAGTGTGTGAATGTTACACTCTTTATTAGCTGTTAAGATGAAGTTGATTCCACTTGTAACTTGACTAGAATTATAACTTAACTAGAATCCACTTCATTTGAACAACTAGCAAGAAAAAGCACAACACATAGGGGGTGTTTGGTGCAGTTTTTTTAAGCCAACTTATGGCTTTTGGCTTTTAAAAAGTTATTTTGGACTGTTTGGTTAAACTTATTTCAAACAGCTTCTGATTCTAACAACTTATTTTAAGTCAAAAAAGCTGATTCTGAGAAGCTGCTCACCCCTTGCTTCTGATTATCAACTTCTGCTGTGGATATGTTAATTCACGATTATACTCTTAGATTTTTTTTATTTTTTATTTTTTTAAAAATAGAAAAAGACTCAAATGGACTATTAAATATTATTATTATTATTTATGAAAAATGTAGGCAAATAGTGAAT